TTTTTGCGTTTTTTTTTTTTTTTTTTTTTTTTTTTGTTTTCTTAAATAAACGCTGATTTTTACCAAGGTTTTTTTAATGATTGGGTTAAAAGTAGAAGTAGCAACATTTTTAGTGCGACAGGTGTTTTAAAAGGTTGGAATCTTCTCACGACTCTGAAATTTTGGACTTGAAAGTGGCGCAGTACAAGTGTGCAACTGCGGAGGTAATTGATGTCTTTTTTTAAAATGCTGAACCTCTCTGAGTTTTTTTTAGGAGTTTTTAGGTGGAAATGTGGTTCCAGAATTAAAAAGTTATAGTCAGATCAATGTAGCGACTATGACTTTTTCTATGGGAGATGTTTCCATAGAGTTGGTTTCAATTTTGAAATGTTTCTTTATAGAACATTGCTGAGATTTGTTCGGAGGTGCTCAAGTATGTCAACCACTGCAGTTCTTCTTCCTGGGACTCCTGGGCGATGCATCAGATGCGCTTCGTTTTAGGCGTAAAGTATTTCAACAACCGCGACGTAGATATGGCGATTTGTGATGCTATTAGAAAAGTGAAACAAACACATTTTGAAGTTCTTTATGCTTATGTTGTCAGAGAAGATATCGTTGGGAGTTTGAACTTTCTTAACACCTTGTCAGAAGATGATTATGACTGGTTGGTTTTGCTTTTGCTTTCCGATGCACTCTTACATACTGTGCTTTTATTTTCGTGAGGCTGGTTGATAGTAGTTAACGCGCTGGCATTTTTTTTCCGTAGATCTTTTACTACCAATTGTAGGGTCTTTCGTAGGGGCTGAGAATCCGTTACTGTTTTGAGTTTGTCAGGTACATTATACAAGCATGAATATAGTTTTCTAAAATTTTCAGGCCTTTGTTGATGCTAATGATACCGGCTCTTTTGCATCATGAACATTACGAAAGAGTATTACAACTGTTAGACAAGCCTTTGCCGGTTATGTTTGATGCTTTGGAAACAGAGTTAAAACGTGCAATTGCTGCGGCTCGAGTAGAAGCACTTTACAGCATTGGTGGTGAAAAATTAATGGATGAGGCGAAGGTTTTGTTGGAAAACAGTCCTCAGAATCGTTTTTCAAAAGCTGTTTTGCTTAAGGTAGAATAAAGTGTTGGATTTTATTTGCTATGCGATAGTTTTTAAACTTTTCCGTCTCTTTTGTATTTTTACTTTTACTGAATTGGTTTCAACTATTTAGATGTTATGTTGTGACCAAAGTACTAGCAAGAGCAAATTAGAAGAGGCATTTGAAACGGAACCATTGGTTAGAGATGGTGATAAGGCATACTGGAAAGCCGTTTTTGCAAAAGAACATAATAATTTAGAAGGTATGTTATATCATTTCAAAAAGTTTGATTTTCGCCAATATTAAATGACCCTTTTTCCAGAAATGTAATTTCTCTTCAGAGGCAAAAGTTCAGGCCGAAGATGCTTTGGCAAATGAACCGGACTCCTGTGAGAAAATGCTGCTTCTAGCTGAGATTCTGCTGGCCATGGAAAGTAGTGATCGGAGGGCTACATCACTGTTAGTTAAGGTTGTGTTTTTTTCTGTGACGGCTCGTAACATTGGTGAAATTTTATGCGCAAGGCAATCAGGTTTTATTATATTATCCTAATATTTGGAAGTGCTCTAATATCATAGCAAATTAATGCAAAACTTTGGTAAAGTTGATATTATTTTAGGCAGCTAAAATAAATCCTTGCAAAAGCAGAGTATTTCTCCGTTTAGGAGAAAGTTTGTTGACAATCAATCGCCAAAAAGCGTTGCAGTGCGTTGAACGTGCTCGCAAGATACGTCCGCAATCATTAGAGGTTGGTATTTTTGACGTTATAGCTATTCTTTTAAGTTGCTTACACATGTAATTCTTAGGTGGGGAAACTTTATGATCGTCTTTTGGAATTGGAAGGTAGGAAGGACGAGCAATTGGAGCATATACGCCTATTTTTAGAAGCCAATCCTACTTCTGACTGGGCACTTAGACGTAGTGCTCTTTTGAAAATGGATTTGGATAAGGTATTTTCGTATGAATTTCCTGCTTCTTTCTTTTAAAGGACTTCGTTGAGGTTTTTTAACGGTGTCCTGCGTTCGCCTTTCAAACGTAACTTTGAGAGGTCTTACTTAGATTGACGAAGCTGTAGAGGATTTACAAAAAATAATGAGGAGAGAACCTGAAGATAAAGTTATATGGAATGCACTGGCAGAGGCGTACCGAAGGCGAGGGAATTTGCAGAGCTCTATCAAAGCTTACGAAAGGCTTCTTGATTTGGATCCCAAAAGCTTCAGCGCACATATCAATGTTCGTTTTATTTGAAAATCAAGTTT